CATTCCCTTTCCCAACATTCCTTTCCCTAGCATTCCTTTACCCAAACAGCTGTTGTTCCTCGTCAATATTAACATTAGGTGGTTTCCTGTATTTAATCCTCTGTCCTGTCCCGGGTAATTTAACTACCTATGTCCTGTCTCCACTGATCACACATCTCTAGGTCTAGTCTGACACTAAACCCATCTCTGGTATTTACCCTATATCACTCTATGCGATCTGATCACATGAAACAAGAGCTCTGTCTGAAGGGCAATCTTCTATCGAACATTCCTTTACCCAACATTTCTTTATCCAACATTCCTGTACCCAATAGTCCTTTACCAAGCACTAATTTACCCAACATTCCTTTTTCTAACATTATTTTACTCAATGCTCCTTTACCCAATATTCCTTTACCCAACATTTCTTTACCTAGCATTCTTTTATCCAATATTCCTGTATCCAACATTCCTTTATGTAGCATTCCTTTACCCAACATTCCTTTATCCAAAATTATTTGCCTAGCATTCCATTACCCAGCATTCCTTTACCCAACATTCCCCTACTAAACATTCCTTTACTCAACATTCCTTTATCCAACATTCCTTTACCAAGCACTCATTTACCCAACATTCCTTTATCCAACAATGCTTTACCCAACATTCCTTAACCCAACATTGCTTTACTAAGTACTCAATTACCCAACATTCCTTTATCTAACATTATTTTACTCAATGTTCCTTTACCCAGCATTCCTTTATCCAACATTCTTTTACCTAGCATTCTTTTATCCAACATTCCCTTACCCGCCATTCCTTTGCCAAGCACTCATTTACCCAACATTCCTTTATTTAACATTCCCTTACCCAACATACCATTATCCGACATTCCTTTTGTAACGGAGCTCCCCGTACTCCGACCGAGTACCCTCCGTTGATGACTAAAACATAAGAGCAATAAAGCAACCTACATAAATAGTCTGTCTGAAGGTAGAATAGGGGCTTTAAAGCCAAATACATCAAAGAGTCATAGTCACAGGGGAGGAGGCTGGCAAGCAGGCCTCTCCAGGACCAAGTGGCGAAGGGCCCTTCGTCACACCTTTATCCAACAATCCCTTACCCAACATTCCCTTACTCAACATTCCTTTACCCAACATTCCTTTATCCAACATTTCCTTACCCAACATTCCTTTACCCAACATTCATTTATGCAACATTCCCTTACCCAAGAATCCTTTCCCTTGCATTATTTTATCCATCATTCCTTTACCCAACATTCCTTTACTCAACATCCCTTTAACCAAAATTCCTTTATTCAACATGTACCAAGCAACCCTTTACTGAACAATATATTTCCCTCTTGAAAGTAATGTTCTGATTCCTGAATGTTTGATGACAGCTAGGAAAGTCGGAGAACACAGTTATGTCATATGGCACCATTTTCAATCTATGCTAGAGCCGGACTTCTTTAGAGAGCTGGGTAAAAGATTTGGGTATCTGATCACAGATCTAATTTGACCAGCAGCGTACATACCGCGGTCGCAGAGGTCGCAGCGGTGTCCGGGCCCATCACTCCTGGGGGCCTGGCCGCCCTGCGGACCCCCGCGACCGGGTACCAGCTGCCACGTTTTGCGGCCCCGGCCTGCACAGCAAACTGCCCGGGCCACATGTTATGGGGTCCATCAGTTGGCCCTGACAGCATAGGCCATTGTCAGGGGGCCCGGTCTGAGCTGCGTGCTTTAACAGCGCGACCGGGCCGCCTGTGCTGACATTACTGCTGGGAGGAAGCACAGAGAGCCCGCGCATTACTCCTCCCAGCATACAGAGAGCCTGCGCGGAAGGAAGCAGGAAGGAGGGAGTCAGAGTGGGAACTCTCACTCCCATCAAACTGAGCCACCACTGGACCCCAGGTAAAGTCACAAAATGTAGGAAACATTTTGTGTATGTGTGTATGTGTGTGTGTCTCTATGTATGTCTCTGTATGTATGTATGTGTGTGTATATGTGTGCATGTATGTGTGTGTGTGTGTCTCTGTATGTATGTGTGTGTCTGTGTCTCTGTATGTGTGTGTATGTGTTTATGTATGTGTGTGTGTGTCTCTGTATGTATGTGTGTGTCTGTGTCTCTGTATGTGTGTGTATGTATGTGTGTGTGTCTCTGTATGTGTGTGTGTGTGTCTCTGTATGTGTGTATGTGTGTGTGTGTGTCTGTATGTATCTGTATCTGCATGTTTGTGTGTGTCAGTGTCTCTGTATGTGTGTGTGTCTGTGTCTCTGTATGTGTGTGTGTGTGTGTGTCTGTATGTGTCTGTGTGTGTGTGTATGTATGTATGGGTCTGTCAGGGGTGTGTGTGTGTCTGTCTGTGTGTATGTGTTTGTGTCTGTATGTGTCGGGGGGCCCACGGTCAGGGGGGGAGAGGGTCAGGGTGGGGGTGGGAAAGTCAGTGTGGAGGGGGGGGCAAGGATCAGTTTTGCACCGGGGCCCCATGGATTGTGTGTACGCCACTGAATTTGACCCTAAGGAATGGGGGCAGAATCAAGAGCCCCACTCTCTTCATACACTCATTACTACGTGGTGTTTGTTACTATATATATAAATATTCAAGATAGATTTTAAGCTGCCAAACATTTGTCAAATTAAGCGTCTTACTACTATATTGCACGGCAGATGTATACGGATAACAGCATCTTCATTAATCCACAGTACCATGACTCCTAATGTTACACATCCTGTACAGAAAACATGTCTACATGACTTGCATTGCTGTATACTGGGGTGCTAGGCTGCTGACTATTAAATAAAATGTATAAACTGAACTGAACTGAGAGAGCCTCTGACTACAGAAAGAGGAAAAATAAAACAAATGCTCTTTGGGGTAATTTGCAT